TCTAAAGATTTGCATCGAAGCGTTTTTTTTTGATAGTGATTTTAATCACTGTCAGATATCATTATACTTGATCCAACTATGCCACGTCACCACTGTGCCGCGACCCCCCTGTGCTGGGTTTTTTATTTTTGCATATAATCCATAAATATGTCAATTTTATATAAAATATTGAAAATATATATCTAAAAGAACTGAATTAAGATTAATAATAGGAGGGGGAATATGACATTCAGTCATAAATTTGTAATAACATGTGAATTAACAGAATTAAAGAAAACTCAAACAAGTGTTGGATGGATGTAATAAATTCACATTTAATTTAATATTGATTGTGTGAATTTTATTTATATCATAAGTTATGATATAGTTAAGTTGTGATCAAACCTAAAATAATTATAGAAAATTTGCAAACAAAATATCTTATTGCCACATGTTCATCAATCGTAACTAATAATTAAAAAATATTTATATTAATTCTTAACATAATTTTTAAATGATATTATAATATTTGCTTCTAAATTAATGAATTTTATTTACAGGGAACTGTTCGAGTACCGGCACCATGTCAATTAGCTCATAAATTGGCATTCTTAACAGGCCAAACTCTTAGAAGTGCTCCTAATACTGGTTTGGATGAACTCTTATACTTTTTATAAAAATATATATTTTTTTTTTTTTTTACCGAGAAACAATTTGTTCTCAATTGTTGTTTTTATTGTATTCAATAAATTTTTTGACTTAGTTAATAAAATTAAGTTTGATAATATAAAATTTGTTATCATATTTTATGAAAACTTCTAGATTTTAACTGTTTTTACTGTAGTTTGACTAGTATCATTTTTTAATCTACTAAATTTGTGTATTAAATTAATTTGACTATAATTATTAATTTTATTTTTAAAACAAAATCTACTTAAAAATATCACCCTAAATATGATATACTGTAAGTAACCTTTTTTTTTTTTAATATTATAATTCATGATATTCTTGAATATAATTGATAGAAGATAAATTGTTTTTAGCTAACAAAAATTAAATAAGTTTACAAAACATCTTCGTGAAAAAGACATACAAAATTTCATATGTTAAAGTATCAATTAAAATTAATTTTGTTAATAAAACTTTGAGTTTTGAATAAACATTAAATAATTTATCATTTTAAAGAACTTGTGTTAAATTGATTGTATTGGTTATACTAATTTGTTATTAGTAAATAATTTAATAGAAATGTTCGATTTAGATAAGTTTAATTAATATTTAATCTTTTATTAGTAGTCATTTAATTGCCAACATTTTTATTGTTTTTTCACTAATATAAATTTAAATTAACTTTAATTGCTTTAAATAAAAGTCTTATGTAATATTTCCAATAGAATTTGATGTGATTAAGGTGATTTGGTAATTAAAACACACGTGGTTTAATTACACTTTTACTAAATTTTTCTTCTAAGACAATGTCAATTAACAAGTAAACAAAACTTTTACATGTTCTTAATTGTGTCGATCCAAAAAGGTTAGTAGTCGCCGGGTTGGATCGGTTCAGGCCGCCCGTCGGCCAATTTTAATGGCGTGACCTGCCAGACGTAAAGGGGAAGCGCCGCGATCGCCATCCAGCGGTGAAGCTGGAGTCGCAATACGACCGCGATATACTCCCCCCTAGTCCGGCCGCCTTAGTCGGGAACCTCGATGGTCGGGGCGTCCAAAACCCCATCCTCGATCTCCATTCCCTCCGAAAACCGGAACTCTCCACATCCGATTGCTACGGGTCCACCCGGTCGTCCCAAGGAACACAACTGGTTGAACGCTACCAACTAAGCGTTCCGCACATTCGCCGGAAAGGGTCTCACTCCCGACGCCACTTGCAGCCGCGGTGGTCATCTGGCTGGTTGACGCACCCGTGGTGTTTTTCGGTCGAAACCGGCCATGTTCATCCCATTGGCTGTGGCGGTGGTTTGGCCGGTTTGCTTCCAGCCTGCCCTGTGCTGATTAAGTCAGGCGGAGGTATGGCCGGTCGATATCACCGCTGGTTCGACCGCCGGCTAGGTTCCCCCTGTTCCGCACGACGTTCTATTAAGCCCCGATCGAACGCGGCCCACAAGAGTGGCTGGGACTGAAGTTTCCCAATCCCCGCCGTACGTACCCGTTCTCGGGTCCAGGTTGGAAGTTGTTCATACTCTTCCCACAGCAGCACCGCCGCTTGCCGCATCAACCTGCGGGCCTGCTGCCGCATGAGATTCGCGGTTTCTGTCGCAAGTCACCGAAAGGGGCGAGGCTCCGCTTCCTGTCTCTGGTTGCTGGATATGCTGTAACATTGAAAATTTATTAGGATTACCCCTCCTGAGGCGTCATATTTCATGGCGGTAACATGTAGCTTTAACTGACGCCTTCCTTTAGTCGCAAACACTCCCTCGTCTAACCTTTTGGTTAGCTGCACGGGCCCCAGCCACTTAGGGGCAAAGCCGGCGTGAAACTGTCAGCGCTGGATAAGGGATGCGCGCGATAATACACCCAAGCCCCTTAAAGCGTTTGCGGTGATTTTCGCGGGATAATTAGTGACCAATATCATAACCCGGAATTTTCGTGAGCGTTGTTCTCTCCCCCCCCCCCCCATCGGAAATTTTAGACGAACTGTGCCGTAATCTGAGAGAAGTATTCTAGCGTATCCGAAACAAGAGAAAAATTCTCTTATGTGTCGGCGATTGTCTTGTCGGTGGCTTGTCCGAGGGGTATGCTCCACCTATGTACTGTAGCAGTCTGTCGCTACAAGTAAGCAAGTCTTACCGCGTTGTGTTCTCGGTTATGGCTCCATTAGATCAATACTAACAACCTCCCGTGGCTGGCGGGATTGTCTTGGTTGCATAAGGTCGTCGTGTTTCCGGTTTAACGGTTTTACACAAGAACAAACATCTTGCGACGTATTGACGTACCGACTCTCTCATACCGGTCCAGTAGAAACGGTTACCAATGCTCCGGTAAGTTTCTTTCCACCCTGGATGTCCGACTAAGACATGATCATGATATCTCCATAACAAGTGATCTGACATGTCCGAAGGGACAACGATTATTTGCCCATCCGTTCAGTGATTCACCGGGCCTTTTAGTAAAATACCGTCTTTCAAGTTGTATTCATGGCGTGTAAGTGTTGGTAAATCGGATTGTCACTGCGGAGCTTTCGAATATACTCGGCCAAATTTGCGTCTCCGGTTTGCCAGCTTCGTATGTCGGGAGTAGCGATATTCTCCGGGTGAACATCCTTTTTTATAGCCCCTAATTGACTTTGTTCGGATAAATCTCCGGTCAATGGTCGATCATGGTAGTTTCTTTCTAGCTGTTCTTCATCTACCGGAGTTTTCTCCACAGGTCGTCCGCTGCTTGATTTTCAACTCCAGGCACGTGCTGAATATATCAAAGTCAGACGCTCCCAGCTATAACGCCCACCGGCGGGTCAACTTACTGCTGGTGTCTCGGATGTGGTGTAACCACTTAAGCGCAATGCCGTCCATGAGCAAAGTAAATTTCCCGTCTAGGTAGGGCGGAAGCGGTCCACGGTCCATACAATAGCTAGACACTCACGTTCTACGGCTGAGTACCGTGTTTGAGCGGGGGAAAGTTTTCGGCTAGCATATGAGATAATTCTTCTCTGCCCGGTTTCTTCCCGCTGAAATAGTACGGCACCGACTCCTATTTCACTTGCGTCCGTTTGAACATAAAACGGTTGTCCTTAAAGTGGGGGACAGAGTCGGGGCGCAGAGATTAGTGCTTCTTTCAGCTTTTGGAAAGCGTTTCGCTCTTGTACCGTCCATCGCCACTTAATTCCATGAGCCAAAAGGTTAGTCAGCGGAGCGGTAAGTTCGGTGTATTTCGGCACGAACTGACTGTACCAACCGCATACTCCGTGGAACTTCTGTAAATCTTAGACTTTCTTAGGTACGGGGAATTCGGCGATTGCAGTTAGTTTCTCCGGTTCCCGGCCAATTTCCGTCGAATCAACTATGTGTGCCGAGGAATTTTATACGGTTTACACCGAAACTGCATTTTTTCGGTTGACATGTCAACTCATGTGTTTGTAACCGTTCCAAGACTCGTTGTATGTGGTTGAGGTGCTTCTTCGTATTCACCGAGTACACCACGATATCATCTAGGTACACTAGGGTGTCCCTTATTTATAAAATTTAAAAATTACAAAGTGCCACTCCCTAGAATTATTCGAATACATGAAAAAATAAATTGTACAAAATTTGGAGACTATTGGTCAACTCTAAGACGTGCCCCAAGGGGGTTAAAAGTAACCCCCTAAGGGTGATTTTTTAGTTTTTTTTGTCTATCTCAAAAACTTTAGCTTTTGCGAAAAAGTTTATTTAGACTTTTTTGTAGGTATACAATTTTTCTATAAAAAGTATATTTACAAAAATTTTCAAAAAGTTCTTATTTAGCCCTAAAAAAATAAAAATGTATATATTCTATTCTTAACGTTGAAATTGTTTATTTATAAATCGTTCATTGTAAAAACATAAAAAAAATTCATTTAACCGTTGTTTTAAATTTAATTTTCTATACATTTTTAATTCTACATTTTTTCTATTATTTACTATTCAAAACCTACAATTTTTTAAATTTTAATTTAAAAAAAACACATCAGAGTAAAATTAATACCGTCTCAATTTCACATTGAAGCTAAAATAATGTTAACTTACAAATTTATATACAACCAGAAACTATTTACAAAAAAAAAGGGTAATAAAAAAATTTACTACATATTTTAAATAATTTATCATTTTTTAAATTCTTGGCATAAAGTTCTTTTATTGCAATTAGGAAAACAACGCCGGTATTCTGTAACAATCTGTAATAGGTATTGTTTTTGTGCTTCGTCTTTTGTTAAAATATTATTATACTCTTCTATGAGTTTGACGCCCTTCTCTCCCAAATCAATTATATCTTTTAAATTATTTACTATTATTTTTCCTCTGATATATTGACTGTTGTCTTTCCACGACAAAGGAATGATATTTAAAAAATCTGTTTCAATGTCATATCTTTCTTTTTTTTTTTATTTTTTTAACAAAATTTTAATTATTACGCTATCTGTTACAATATTGAACAATAAGCTTAAGTGATAACATAAAAGAAAAAAAAAAAAAACAGACAGAAGAGACTGAGTGAAGAGACCTCCCATCGGAGGTACTTCAAGTCATATCTTTCAAACAACTTTTTTTTTTTTTTTTTTGACTCAGTTGAAATAAAATCATCTATACTTTTATTTTTAAAATCATAAATTTCATTTATTCCTACTACTATACGTTTGTTTGTACATGGATCTTCTTCCCGATTATTTAATGAGTTTACCATTTTAATTTTAGTATCTTCACATAAATCATCATCATAAAATGCCAATGCTGCCGAATCGGATAGTAAGTACCATAAGTGACCCAAAATTTTTTTTTAAAACTACTTTAGAAATATCTTTATCTATTTGTTCATAATCAATTATATTTTTAATAAATTGTAAATCTAAATTTGGCGCTAATGCAGTATTGGTGCACTAAACCATTGTTTAATATATAAACTTGTAATAAAAATATATAATGAACGAATATTTAACTCTTTGATTGACAATTCAAATTGGCCCCGAAACCAAAAAATTTTCAAACAATAAATGGCCTTGGCCATCTAACGAGCATGATGGATTGGGCCAGGAATTTTAAAATAAATTCCATGCAAATGTTAGGGTGTGATATTTTATACTTACCATGCAGAAATCACATTTATGAAATTATATTGAAAAGTGTTTTTGAAGTAAAATTTAATACGTCATCTGAACCAGATGTTTTCAATATATTCCAAAAGTCTTGGCAAAATATAAATAAAACAAATTACTTAAGTGGAATAGAAGATACTGTTATTTTAGAAAAATAAAAAACAAAAAAAAACGATATTTTGAAATTTAGTTTTGAACAATTACAAAAATACCAACCTCGAGATGACTTTTAGAATTGGTCATAATATTTTTTGGTGAAACACCTTTACATAGAATTGATTTTAAAACTCCTGGCCCAATCCATCATGCTCGTTCGATAGCCAAGGCCATTTATTATTTGAAAATTTGTTTTGTTTCAGGGCTAATTTGAATTGTCAATCAAAGAGTTAAATAATATTCGTTCATTATCTATTTTTATTACAAGTTTATAAAGTTTCTAGTTGTATATAAATTTGTAAGTTAACATTATTTTAGCTTCAAGTGAAATTGAGACGGTATTAATTTTATTCTGATGCGTTTTTTTTTAATTAAAATTTAAAAAATTGTAGGTTTTGAATAGTAAATAATAGAAAAAATGTCGAATTAAAAATGTATAGAAAATTAAATTTAAAACAACGGTTACATTAATTTTTTTTATGTTTTTACAGTGAACGATTTATAAATTAACAATTTTAATGGTAAGAATAGAACATATACGTTTTTATTTTTTTAGGGCTAAATAAGAACTTTTTGAAAATTTTTGTAAATATACTTTTTATAGAAAAATTGTATACCTACAAAAAAGTCTAAATAAACTTTTTCGCAAAAGCTAAAGTTTTTGAGATAGACAAAAAAAACTAAAAAATCACCCTTAGGGGGTTACTTTTAACCCCCTTGGGGCACGTCTTAGAGTTGACCAATAGTCTCCAAATTTTGTACAATTTATTTTTTCATGTATTCGAATAATTCTAGGGGGTGGCACTTACAAATATTAAAAAAAAAAAAAACCTCTCATGTAGCTAAGGGTCACCCTAAGGTACACAAACACGAATTTACCGACATATCAACGCATAACCTCGTTTACCAACCGTTGAAAAGTAGCCGGGGCGTTTTTAAAGAATTACTTCAAAATGGTAGAGGCCCATTTATGTGCGGAATGCGGTGAGGGGTCTTGACTCCTGGGTTAAGCTGACTTGCCAATAACCAGACTTTGGTGCTGAAAACACTTCTTTTAAAGCGAGGAGGCTTTGTGTCATATTTTTCGTATATTGAGCGCCCGACGCTTTTTTTCACAATAATACTGGTATTTTTCGTTCATTATTATTTTAAGCTTATTTTAAAAAGTTAAATGCGTGTTTTTTAGTTTTATTAAACTATATTTTTTCTTGCGACATTTTAAAAGAATAGTAAAATTTGCCCGGGAAGATTCATTAACATTAACATTTTTATTAACATATTTGTTGTCAGTAACATTTCCAATTTTGGACTATAGGCTCCAGATTATTTTTTAAACTACGTCCATCGTTGTTAAAATTATTTTATATTCACTTCCATTTATTTGCTGTTTCTATGGATATAAATGAATAATAATTTTACCATTTTTTTTACGTATTTAGAAAAGGAAATAATCATTTAATTTATTAATATGTATTCTAATTTCACCTACGCTAAGCTTAGAAGAGAATTTGGAAGACAATGTGTGTTTTCTAAGTGGGGTCCAAGATTTTTGGAAAATTTATTGCCAGACTCTAATCTGGAATATCAATGGATAACAAAAAATCCATGTAACCGAAGTACGAACTTAGGAGTTGATTGGTCTGAGCACGAAGTTAAGTTTATATGAATGAATAATTAAGTTGAATAATTTATAAAAAACGTATTTAGGTTAATACTATACGCGCAGAATATGTGGATCGTGGTATTGCTCACGTGGAAGGAGGATGGCCTAAAGATGTCAATTTAGATGATCCAGAACAGGTGACAAGGTTCAGAAAAAAAGCAGAAAAAGATGATTCTTATATGCATGCTGTACTACAAATGTCAAAAGTATTATTTAAAATCACATTGATAATTTAATTTTAAAGTATTACATAAATATTAAAAATATAAAAAATCTTTTAAACATTGATATTTATAATAAACATTGTTTTGTTATATA